TCCAACCTTACTCCAGCACCTCGGAGAACTCAGACCTGTCTCTTATACACATCTAGATGTGTATAAGAGACAGGAGCGGAGATGTGGAGTAGTGCCGTTGATTCCAAGGCGCGGGTTAGTTGTGTAATGTATGTTGTCCATTGTGTGTCCTTTTATAGATTCGTGGAGGACTAGATAGAGAGAGATTTTTTTTTCCTACTGGCCTTCCCTTGTCCTGACTTGGGGCGTTGCTCCACGGCTTGACATTGAAAAGGTATCTGGACTTGGTTTTTGTCCCGATTCATTCAAAATGCTTCATCGAGCCTGAATGTGTGCGGGCGGTGCATCAGTCCAGATACCTGTTGAATGTTGAATAGTGGAGCAAGGCCCTTTTGTGTTAGCATTCACGAGGCGCCCTTTCTCAGGTTCTTTTTCATTTGGTGGTTTTTTTTTTTTTTTTTTTTCAGCAGGGTGCCAGTGTGCCTCTTTCCAGTTGCGTTTTTATTTTCCTACTTCAGCATTTCGTGTGCTCCGACTGCTTGTTGACGAGATGCGAGGTTTGAACTGAACTGTTTGTCTGAAACAGGAATGACTCTTGGAGACGAAGATGCTGTGCAGCAGACGCCGGATGCAGTGGCTGTTTCCTGTTTTGGCAGTTCCTGCCCTCCCAGGGAGCGAGGGAACACATTCCGGAGTCCAGACTCTTATTACATTACTCCTCTCCTCCACTCGCTCTGTCTATTGGTGTCCAATCTCCTCTCTCCATGCGCAGGTGGTGCTTCCGCCTAAGCTCAGGATGACTCACATTGTATCCAGAGGAAGAGAAAATGCCATGCAGCAGGTGAGAAGAGACAGGAGTGTGGAGGTCGTTGGTTGTGCGGGTTTAGCCCCCTGGAGGGGTGCTGGCTCCAGCAGTCGCTGCCTCTTGTGGAAAAAGAGGGGTGGTTGACTGGCAAGAGACCGGGATGCGGCTCTTCGCTTTCCAGCATTCCTGCCGGACATGGTCTGTCAGTATCAGAAACTAATGTGTGTGTGTGGGGGTGAAAGTAGGTGGTGGTGTGGTGGCAGCGATTGCCCTGTGAAGGGTTGCGGGTGCAATCTGTTACTGTGGGTGTGGGGTAAATAATATTGACCGGTAGTTGCCAGGAGAGAGCTTGCATGCTGGAATATGTTTACACGAATGAAGGACGGGGAGAGGGGGGCATTTCTGCACAACGGTGGGGTAGGGCATATCTGTGTGTGGTGCCCAGCGAGGGCGAGCGGTCATGGAAGAGCGACCTTGTTCAGCTTCCAAGTGTCATGCTTGCAACGGTTCAAAATCAGCATTGCGGTCTCTCTCTCTCTCTCTCTCTCTCTCTCTCTCTCTCTCTCTCTCTCTCTCTCTCTCTCTCTCTCT